TTTAAAAAAAAACATTTCAATTTTTTGACATATCAATGCTCCCAAGCGTTGATGCATCTACGCAGCTGCTGGGACAATGAACCGTCAAACCGAATTTGAAATTAAAAATGTTAAACGAAAAATTGTTGATATTTGTAAAAATTGCATGTCATAACAACCTCCAATTTGCGTCGTATTAGAAAACGTATAAAAATCTACTTATTTTTGACAAAATAAGTATTCTTCTACCATCGTTTTGAAGTTTGTTTTTGTTGCAGCGAATTCAAATTTAATTGACAGATCGTCTGGTAATCAGCTGAGCTGGAAGGGGGATCTTATACTTGGATCATGAACAAAACCAACTGTTCTATATTTAAAAGTCTATTTGACTTTCAAACTCTGAAGTTGATCAACCTTTTGCTAGGAACACAATTGGAGCGAACGACGAATTTCGCCCTACGCGGCGACAAAATGAGCCGTGTAAATTCGTCGTATGGAACACAATACTGACGAAATTATAAAACAGCTGATGAAGTTGTTTACTTTTTGCTCAGTAGTCTTTTGAGGCCAAATTATGCAAGAACTCATAATTCTTTACGTTCTCTATTATAATTTCACTTATGTCCATCATCTCTATTATAAATTCACTGATATCCATCTTCCCTCAGGCGCAAGTACACAAATAAATAAACAAATTAATTATGTTTTTTTAAACGAGTAACAGATAGTAGAGTGACCATAACAAATTTTAAAGTAAAAAGTAACTTTATTTACTAAAAACACATAAAATTCGTACAAGTATGGCCACCTTGTACTGCTTCGCTAATTGAATTCGCGGCGACCGACGAAATTTTCGCCGGCGCCGTGATTGTGTGCACTTCCATATACACATATGTTTTTATTGACGACGAACATACGCCGCGACAAATTCGTCGTTCGCTCCAATTGTGTTTCTAGAATGTTTATATATTCTTGCCTTTCCAAAATGGTATCATATGTGCTGATATCTCTTATAGTTCCAAAGATATATGTGATGCAAAATTATGGCTACGCGATCCATAGTATTTCTATACATTGTAATTTTGGTAGGTAGCCGGCCTTCGCCCGGAGCTTGAGATTTTCTCCTTTAGGGTATATCCAACACCGGCTACGCGATCCATATTTTTTCTAAACAATTTGCTTTCCGTAGGAATCATAATACCACCAGTTTGCTTCTTTACTTAACTGAGTTAGTGAGATCTAACACGAACCTTAAAAAGGATAATTGTTTCATTGGATTTAACAAGGGCATTTGATTCTCTTTCTCATCAAATATTACTCAGTAAACTGATGTATGAGTTCGATTTTTCTGAGACAGCTTGTAATCTTATTTGTCTTGTTCTTGTAATAATTGTCTTGTTCATGTTGGACAGTGGTGTTTTGAACATTGTCTGGTATTGAATCCGTCAAAGACAAAGGCTATTAAGTTTGGTAGTAATGCATATAATCTAAATATTGCTCTCGATGGTAATCTAATTAGTTTTGTAAGCTGTCACAGAATGCTGGGTATTTTGGTAGATGAGAAACTTTCGTTTGAGACTCATGTCGATTCCGTTCAGAGACGAGGTTTTGCTATTATTCGTAGATTATATGGTACTAATTTATTTTTACCATTGAGGGTTAAAAAGAGGTTGGCGAATGCTCTTTTAATGCCTCATATCAATTATGGGCTCGAGCTGGTTTCTGGTACAATAAATTGTATTTGTTTAAGAGTTAAACGTGTAGTTAATGTTATTGTAAGATTTGTGTATGGCTTGAAGAAACGTGATCACATCTCAAATTTTGTTATAGATTGCCTGGGAGTTTCTTTTGAGCAATTTTTATCTGTTAAGTTATTGCATTATTTTTACAAAACTATCAGAGGTGTTGTTCCTAGGTTTCTGGCTAACATGTTCAGTTTTTGCAGGTCAACTAGGAGTACTCAGATATTAATACCCAGAATAAATAACTTAACATTTGAAAAGTCTTTTATTGTACGTATTGCACGTTTGTGGAATTATCTACCTATTGAGCTTAGAATTTTTTCCCATTCTAATAATGCCTTTCGTTTGAGAATGTTGAATCATGTCCTGTATCCTGGTATATATACCAATTGGTTTCATTCTCGTTGTTTTGAGCTTTTATTTTTTTCATTTTACTCTTTTTTAATTTTTAAATTATTTTTATCGTCACCTTTATTGTTCACCTTTCTTAAAAAAATTTAATTGCTTGTTGTTGGTTATTTTGCCTCTATTGACTCATTTTTTTACTTTTGTTTTTTTTTTTTTTTTTTTTTTGTAGTTTTGGCTGGGCAGCCTTTTATAACTTTTTTTTTTTAATAATGTGATAGTTAATTATAAGTTATTTTGATTTTTTCTACTTGGTATTGAGTACCTTACTAATACAATTAATTGGCCTTGGAGAGTTTAGTATTAAGTATGAATTAAATAAAGAAAGAAAGAAATTTGGTAAGTAGCCGGCCTTCGGCCGGGGCTTGAGATTTTCTCCCCTGGGGTATGTCCTACACCGGATACGCGATCCATTGTTTTTCTAAACATTATAATTTTTGTAGGTAGCCGGCCTTCGGCCGGGGCCTTAGATTTTCTCCTCTAGGGTATATCCGACACCGGCTACGCGATCCATAGTTTTTCTAAACATTGTAAATTTGGTAAGCCTGCAATTTCTAATATCCCATAATGGGCCCATTTTCGACTTTTTATGGGTTGCTCAAAAAGTTTCGGTACAAAAATACCAATTTTTTTATTACTCTGGAACCGTTTAAAACCAACCCATCACATACCACGTTTTAGAAAGGTATATCCATAAGCTTTCAAATGATACCCATTTTGTATATTTCAGTTGTGTACAACCGGATAAAACCCGGATTTTGTATCCGAACTTTCGGGTCGAATAACCGGGTAACCCGATATTTCCCCCACAAAAAATTACCTTGCCGTAATCAGGTTAAAAAGATCTACACGTGGTAAAAATTTCAGGTTAATCCGAGCATAGCTCCTAAACTCAACTTAAGCCAAAATTGGAATGCATGAAATGTGGTTATTATTTACACCATCTTTGTCAATCAGAATCTTGGGGATTCCTATAGAAGCAGACACTCTAATGTCCATATCAGCTAATGCACCAAGAATACTATATTTGTTTACCTGCGTGAAATTAACAACGATGCTAAAAACGATAACATTGCCAACAGTACAGGGTGACTCAGAGAATTGTAATTTCACATTAAATCCTTTTTTAACGGTACGAAAGAAAAAAACTGCAACCGATTTAGAAAAAAATAATTTAAACAATTATGAGTGAAAATATCCATCAACAATATCCTTCGCCCTAATAAGACAAAATTTTCAATTTTCGTGACATACTAGTTTATGCTTGGGACTTCGCTACTGCTTGTCAGAACAGAAATCTGGCTCTGGAACCATTTACACCATAATATCAAATTAAAAAAGAGACCGATGCGAGCATTTCGATATTGAAACATGGTTTACAACTATAAAGTTTTCCTTTTGGGACCTAAACTTCTTGATAGTTTGTCTTATAGCCGGCGCGTGACATGAAAAAACGTAATACTAAATTTCATGAAAAATTATGTAAATCTGTCAAGACAAGAAAAACTCATGTTATAATAAAAAATGAATGAAGTTGTACAGGAAAATACATACAAACAATTATTAATGTTTTTTTTTTTTTTTTTTTTGCAGAATATACTTGACATATTGATTTACAAAAATACTGATGTATCTACTTTTCATGATCAATATGACATGCCATTCATAAAAGTATTTTTGAAATCATGTGGATCAAATTTTAATATCATATTTTTTTATATTAAAATCCATCAGTTAATTACATAACATTGAATAGCGCAAAGATGCTGTTCATAAAATGGATAAAAATATTTGTAACTCTAGTTTTACTTAGGACCAGAGATGGTCTCTTTGAAGGTTTTTTAGGTTTTCGACTGTCGAATTATAAAATATCATAAAATTCTAAAATACTGTAATATACCACATAATATTTCCCAAGTTGGTTGATAAACGTTTAGGTCGTATTATTGAAACCTCGTTGATCTTAATGAGGTTAGTTTCCCTGTGCATGTCTTCAAAATCTGGCAAAGTTACTGTAGGGAGCATAAAACCTCAAGCTGGAGTTTTTTCCAAAGACATTAAACTGTAAAGATTGAGCAAAATGTACATTGCTTTCTAACGTCTCTATCAAGCAATGGATCGTCGACGACATGCCAAAAATGGATTAACAAATATGTTATTCTGATATCGAAAAAAATAGTGATAAACTGGGGGAAAAAGGCAACATATAAAGTAGACATGGACTCAAAAACTTATTCCAGAGTATTTGGAGGTGTACATTTAATCAGTGAAAAAAATCCTATTAAAGTGACCGTTATGTTACGTTATAACATACAGCCTGTTCCACGATATCGAAAGAAAATTTGTGCGAACGAAGGCTACTCACTCACTTTCGTATCAGAATGCGTTCCACTAACATTCGTTCTTTTTCTCGCATAGCCTTACGTGACGCAGTGTTGATAAATATACCTTTGAAAACCCGTATTTAAGCAAAAAAGCACCAAATGACAGATTTAAGCGCGAAAAAGCAATAAAAATATAACCATACGTAAGCTGGCTCTGCCTGAACTGACAGTTCGGTTGTAAAAAAGAAATTGCAAATAAGCAAACAAAATACTATTCCCAGTGATTGAATTCAAATTATTTGTGCTCTTAAAAAAAAAAAAAATAAATGAATATTTCTGTAGCCCTATACTTTATGGTTGATGTGGAGGAGCTTCAAAATGAACTGTAAAGCCATTTAAGAGATGCTTCGAATAAATAAAAATTGCAATAAATTTTTAAAATTAATTGATTTTTTTTTTAAATGAAAATATATAATTAAAAAATTTGTTTAAACTATTATTTATTAACTATGAGTGGCTGGTTGGTACTGTTGAGATGTGATAGTCCAGGTTTGTACGTTTATTTGTTATTGTTGTTAGACATGTGTTTCTGGCGAAAAATAGTGAAAACTTTCTTCACTTAACGGCCTGGTAGGTGTTACTACTGCTACGGTCTTGATGGTGTTGTATCCAATTCCTCGAAGCAGTAGTCGATGTCGTCTGCATAGCCAAAAGTTTTACCGCTTGGTACTGCTGACTTCGATAAGAAGATTATCCGGTCAATTTTGTTTCCAGGTCCGTCAGACACTCAAATCGGTATAAACCGACACCTGTTCCTTGCAACCTTTTTTTTTTTTTGTTTTCAGCTATTTTCTTATTTGTGCGGGACTTTAGATTAGTCCAAGCCTGTAAATAATAGTGCCGGTTAGACAAATAGATTAAACCGAGTTTTCTGACTTTCATTTTTCCACTCTGCAATTGCGCGAGAAGGAGAACCCATGGTATTTAATTTGAAACATAATTTTTTCCAGTGGTCTTCAAGGGGTTGCTTGCTGCTTCCAAAAGTTGGCACTCGTCTGGCGAACTCAGGATTCTCCTCCATATATCCAACTAGTGCCCGCAGCTGTGCAGTTGATGATTCTTTCGTGCTGTAATTGAGGAAATAAAAAAATAAATGTTGTATAATTGCATTTATTATTTTTACTTACCTTTTTATTTCCATTTTCAATCAAGCTACTATATTTATGTTGAAAATAATTTCATGAATTGTAATCATACGACAGCAAACACACAAAAGTATATAATATACGTCAGAATTTCTGACGGACCATCTATGCTTAGGACTCCCTTCGTAGCCTGGTGAATGTCACAATGCGTTATTGTGATTGAAACACACAGAATAAACGATAAACAAATGTTGACATTAATTTGATTTTTCAAAACTTGCAGGAACACCCTGCTATTGCGCCATGGCCACTTCTATCGTACTCATGCGATGTTTCGAAAGCTATAGAACTCTATGTTTAGTTTTTTTTTTCTCGGTGGATGGATGAATTGGGGGAATGTTTTGGTCCTAGAGTTAATGTAAGCTACTGCAATTTTTGCTTTATATATATTATGATTTTTTTTTTTTGTTTATTTTGATGTTAGTGCTGAAATGGTGTTGTGTAAATTCTTTCAACAAGGAACATGTCGTTATGGCTCCAAATGTCATAAGGAGCACATTGATATCCGGCAAATCGTCAAAACAGACATAGAGTCGGCTCTTAATGGGAAACAGTGGCCTCTGTCTTGTTATGGCCCATTTAAAGACAAAATTGGCATTCCAAACTTTATCGAAGATCAACTTTTTGAGGAAGTTCGACTTTTGTGCTATGAAGCAAAACAAAATAACTATTTTGATCAATTTCACCAACAATTCAACAAAGAGATAATTGATGCTAATAGCAAAATGAAAGCTTTGTTGCAAATGACACCCGAAATATTGGATATTGTAATGAATTGTTATGACTCTACAGTTGGCAACAATGTTTCCCAACCGATTGGTGTATTTGAAAGTGGTGCTACATCTGAAGTTCCAGTGTTTGGTAAATCGCCAAGCACATCATTTGTACAGAACAACAACATGATTTCTGCAAATAACGGAGGAAACATATTTGGTTTTGGAAAAACCAATGCTCCAAATGTTTTTGAAGGTTCATCGTCGATGAATCAACCTCAATCATCTATTTTTGGACAAACCTCCAAAGTTGGAAACCCTATTTTTGGAGGGTCGACGTCGGTTTTTGGACAGCAGCAAACATCCTTAGCAATGAACAGTAATATTTTTTCACAACAAACATCTGGAACAGGTACGTTTCCCCACCAAAGTAATGTGCCACAACAGCATTCTCCGTTTCTTCCAGCCCAAGGTGGTAGCAACATTTTCAATCAATCGGGACCCTCTCCACAGTCTCCAAACATATTTACACAAGGAACAGTTCATCGCCAAACACAGGGGGTTTTTGCACTACCATCGACTCAGGCTGCACAACTTACATCACAAAATACTGTCGAGTTTGGTCAATCTGTTTCTCAAAATATGCCACAAAATTTGTTCACTCAATGTGGTCCACAACACTTTATTCAGAATGCGCCTACAGAGCCCTCAAATGTGTTCAAGCAACCCCAATTTAACCATGTTAGTGATCAGTCTATCAATCAGTCAAAAACTAGAAACGGAATCGCTGCAAACTCACTATATAGCCTAATGAAAGATCTTGCACAAGATGAAATTGAAGCCTTTAAAGCTGAATTCTTTCTTCCAGGAAAGTTACCTCTAAATCCACCTCCTAAGGAATTAGTTGACGTTTAATTGAGATTCAAAGCTAAGTAAAATTCGAAAATTTTGAACAAATCAAATTATTAATTTAAACTACATATATAAATGGCCTTTGCAGAATGATTAATTATACAGTCTTATTCTGAAGATTACTAGAAAGTCTTCTTCTTTAGAAACATTCCCATGTTCGCTCTGTTATAAACAATAAAAATATAACAATCACATCGCATTTTTACTTGCCACTTTACCCTGCCTTTACACTCCTACCTAATATTTCACGTACGCATTCGACGTTTCTATACCTTATACCATACTAGGGAGTATCGGCATCAATATTTTCAATGTTCTATCAACTCACACCTGAATAGAATTAACAGGCATCTCACGGGAACGAATTCCTTATGAAAGTGATTTTAATTCTGTATTTAGCTTCTTCAGAAAACGATTTTTTTCGGTTTCAAACCACTTTGAGCATCTTTAAAAAACTTTCAAGAAATAAACATATTGTTTCAATAAAAAAATTGTCAATATATAATTTTTAATTGTTTAAGCAAATTCTCATTGTTAACAAAGGTTTTCCCATAATTTTAATTTATTATAAACATGAATGGAATGCTGGGGTTATTCCACAAATTTGAGTCCATATTAGAAGGACAATATTGTTGTATACCAAAATTGCACCGTTTGTTACCCTTTAATGCATTTCTGCTGCAACGGAATGTGAAACAATTGATAATTGTTTTCATTATTATTCAAAATAATCGCACACATACACAAATTATATATATATATATGAGTTGACAGAGTAGGGACACCAAAAGTTAGCTTTATGTGGCGTTTCCACTGCACTTGATTCGCTCTCTATTCGTTGTTCGACCCTTAACTATGAAAAAACTACCTAATTCTTCACACAAAATTTCCTGAGCGAACACTCATATTTGTAAGTTGTTCAAATCAAATCACTCTCAGAACAACGAAAAAATATGTCCCATCCCTAACAAATGAGGGCATTTATCGAAAAAATAGATTATGACATTTAACAATTAAAAATAGAAAAAATTGATGAAATTTAAAAATTTTTGGGAAGACTGAAAATTATGAATGAAAACTACAATGTTGAATGGCGTATGTACATTCAAACGAAAGGAAATTTTGTTTTCTCTCTCATTCGAGGTACGCATTTGGTCCACGAGTTAAATTTTCCACAGACAACTGCAAACAAAAGAGGCAATATTTTCAAAATGTTTCTATCGGCAGAAAAAATGTTTGACAAGTGTCTCTCCAGCAGAAATTAAAAATGGAAAAACACAAACATTTGTTCAAAATGTCAACATTTACACAAAAAGCTGAAAACTTGAATGAAAATTGTAAAATTAATGATATAATAAATCTTTGGGAGGAAAACAATAATTTCTTCTATTCATATTAGTGAGAATTTCATGTATTTTCGTATAAATTCCCATTAAAATCCACAAACAAAATTTTTGAAAAAAGGAATTACTTTACTATAAATTACGAATCGTGCCGTATGAACGGTTTAATTCGTGTACCTAATTCTGAGAGCGAACAACGTTGTTCGGTTTCCAATGGAAACATGCTATTATTCTACATTCTTTATTGTGCCTTGGTAACTAGTGTCAAATTTGATAGGACTAAAATTCCTCGATGCATTTTTTCAGTATTGTGTTCATTACTTTGCTTCTCAATTACAGAAACAATCAAAACTCCCGGCATTATGTAAAATTTAGCAAAAAATTAAAAGAGTATTTAATTAATTCAAACAATTTCTACTTCTACAAGGTTTTGTAATCATTCGATTTAGCCAAATCGAATCGTAGTTAACCAAATCGAACGGATTTTGAATTACGGAATTTTGCACATTTTTAACAAGAAACAAAGAAAAACTCATAAACGCTGCTCACCTTGAGAATAGAATGTGTATATAATTCGAGGAAAATGTGAAATGTTACCCGATTTACTATCATAAAAATAAGTTCAGTAATAATCCTATATATATAATTTATTATTATCCTCTATACTTAATATAAATTAACTAATAAAATGTTGAATATATTGAATGTGGACACTTTTTTAATATATGACTCAAAATTAGCCTATATGTTTAATATAATTAAATTATTTTTTTACTTTTGAAAAATGTTGAGTGTGGGCAAATTTTTAATTGATAAAGATTAATATATCCCAAAGGTATTTGCTACAAGTCTTAAATATTTTCCATAACCTATGCTCAGCAAATAACATGGTGGAAGCATCGACACAGCTGCTGGGACAATGAACTGTCAAACCAATTTTGGAATTTAAAATTTTGAATGAAAAATTATTTAAATTTGTAAAAATTGTTGAAAACACAAATTAATAACCTCCGAATAACATCGTATAAGAAAACATAAAAATCTACTTATATTTGAAAAAACATTTAAAATTTTTTGACATATCAATGCTCCCAAGCTTTGATGCATCTACCTGTATTCTTCTGACATGGCAAATAAGTAACATTTTTTGCATGTGTTAATTACTTCATAAACATACTTTCAAAATTGTGAAATGTTACGCGATTTACATTCATATAAAGAAATATTTTGAAATAATGTAAATCCAGTAAAAAGTAAACAGGGGCCAGATCACCGCATTCGCCATCGAGTTCTGTTTCATATAGAGATACATTTCGATAGCTGTAAATTTTTGAATCACCGCATCCAACCGACTACATACTTTGTTTTCGATAGCATACCCAGCTAGCATTTGGAAGTTTGATTTTGAAAAAATCACTTTGGTGAATATTCTTCGAGTCCTTTTGTGATCAAAAAATTGTTTGACTCTCTTGTATGATCGAAATCGATTCGAAAATGGCTCTCTATAATGAGTAAAAAGAGATCAGTTTAATACACAACAACAAAATGTAGGGGAATTGAAAATCAATCATGAAAAAAATGAATCAATCAAAGAAAAATGATCATAATTGTATATTTTTGATCATATTTTACACAGATAAGTGTTTAAATGCCGCTTGTTTTGCTATGCATAACGGGTCATGTTGTTGCGTTTCTGGAGTTGACCTATTGCTTATTTATAAAAAGTGTGTGGAGCTGTAAACATTAAAAGTGTAAAATATTGAAAAGTGAAATAAAATATATTTAAAAAGTGTAAGTTAATTTGATTTTTTTATAAGGAAAATGTCAGCAAATCAAATAAAAAAATGGAAAAGTCTAAAATAAAAAGGATGGCAAAAAGAGGCAGGAAATTTAATTTTGAAAAAAAGAAATTAAACTGAAGTCGAGAATTATGAAGATAATGTCCAATTCCAAATTTTACATGCCTTCGATGATTTGGTTCAGCAAAATGAGACATACAACAATATGTAAGTATTTGATTTTTATTTAAAAGTATATTAATTAAGTACTACTGAAACTAATCTACAGTTTGTCAAATAATTCTTTGCAAAATTAAAAAAATTATTTTTTTTTTCATATATAAAGTAAAAATTTATTAAGAAAACTAATTTTTTTACATTTTTTTATACCCTCCACCTTGGAAAGGAGGGTATATTAACTTTGTCATTCCGTTTGTAACATCCTTAAATATTCGTCTTAGACCCCATAAAGTATATATATTCATAATCAGCATAAAATTCTAAGTCGATTTAACGATGTCCGTCTGTCTGTCTGTCCGTCTGTCTGTCTGTTGAAATCACGATACAGCCCACATTATTTGACGTAGAGCTCCAAAATTTAGCTGAGCTATTTGCATTGTGTCTAGGATGGTTGGTATTGAAAATGAGATATATCGGTCCACGTTCTGGTATAGTCCCCATATAACGGTACCTCCCGATATTCGGTATTTTGATGATTTATGCCACGTTTTTTCACGGATTTGTCTTAAAATTGGTATTTGTAGGTCATAGCAGGTCCCTGAGCATGTGGCAAAACATTGCATGTATGGGTCCAAAATTTGGTATGGCCCCCATATAACGGTACCTCCAGATATTCGGTAATTTGATGATTTTTGCAACATTTTTTCACGGATTTGTCTGAAAATCGGTATTTGTTGGTCATAATGGGTCCTAGTTCGTGTGGCGAAACATTGTAATTATAGGTCCACGTTTTGGTGTAGCCCCCATATTACGGTACCTCCCCATAATCGGCATTTTAATGGTTTTTGCCACATTTCTTCTAATGTTTATTTTACCCTAAGGTGGAGGGTATTAAAAGTTTGGCCCGGCCGAACTTAATGTTTTTTTACTTGTTTATTATATATTAGATTTAATAGTAAATATTGATATTTATGAAAAAAAATTATAGGTTTCTACAATAAATAAAAAAATAAAATACAAAAACAAAATAAAAGCAAATATTTCCTTGTCAATAAATTCTTTGCAAAACGAAAACTCATAGTAGAATTACAACAGAAACTTTAAAATTTTTTTACTATGAAGGTTAATATTTGGTATGGTGTCCATTAGCATCCATGACTGCCTTTAGCCGACGCGGCATCGACTGTATTAGTCCATTTATATCGTAATATTTAGGAATTTTCTGCCATTCTTCTTGTATTGCTTTGACTAAAGCGTTTTTATTGGTAGGACCGCGTTTTGCAACCTTTTTCTTCAATAATGCCCACAAATTTTCTATGGGATTTAAGTCTGGACTTTGGGGAGGAGCGTCAATAACTTTGCTGCAATTATAAAGCAACCAGGTCCTGCAAAGCAACGATTTGAGTTTGGGGTCGTTGTCCTGATACAACTTATACTTAAGTTTATTTGGCTTTTGAGGATCAACAAACCCGAAACTTTTGGCACTCCTGGATAATTCATTTTTCAGAATGTCCAAATAATATTCTTTCGTCATAGTTTCGTTAAAAATACGCAGCTCCCCAACGCCCTTTGAATAAATACAACCCCACACCATTACAGAGAGCTTGCCAAACTTAACTGTTGGTATTATATTTTTTGTTGAAGTGCAGAGTTTGGCTTTCTCCATACTTTACTGGGTCCGTCATGATGGTATAACATGATTTTTGTCTCATCGCAAAAAATTACGTCGTTCCAGTACTCCTCAGCATTTGTAACATTATTAATAGAAAATGTAAGCCGCTTCTCAATGTTAACAGCAGAAAGCAATGGCTTCTTTCTGGTTACATGAGACGAGTACTTGTGGATTTTTAAGACTTTTCTAACAGTCTCGTGGCTCACTTCCTTATGACACTCATTTT